GGACCAGCCCGCTACTGTGCGGGACCGGTCCAGACTGGGAAACTGGTTCCGGGCCTAGGCCCGGCCCGATGGGGTAATGGGGGGTAATTCCAGTGCAAGGGAAAGGTGAACCGGCCCGACCAAGGAAAAGTATATGTATGTGTTATAGATAAGTTATATACTTGTATTAATTACGAGTACAATAATGTATTTATTACTGCAAACTATAAGTGAATGTGGATCTTGGCCAATGATGGTGAAAACATGAAAACAATCTACAAAAAGTTATTCAGGTGTGAAGTTGAAAAAATGGGCAGTTAATTGTTACTCAGTATTGCGCAGTACAAAGTATAATATTTCCCAAAAAAATCAATTTTAGAACATTAAACATTATGTAGCATTATTTTAACAGAGATATTTAATTGGATCTATTTTTTAGATTAGAAACATTGCCAAGTAAGTTAGTGCTGAAAGAAACATATATTTGTCGCAATTAGCGGTGAACCAAGCCGGTCCGGACCGTTAACTTCCCACATTACAACATGAATACATTATTTGAAAAATAAAATTTCATATACACAGAATCAATATGTACAACATGAATACAAAATGATACTATGTATATAGGTGTTTAGGCAAGAAATTGATAATTTCTTCTAACAATCAAATAAAAGATATGGGAATCGCACAAGATATTGTTTAGAGATATGTGGAAGAATTTGATATTAAACTAATCTAAAATGAATACCATGAGCTGAGATTGTGCAAAATAAATCACTATTAATTTGTATAATAAGAAAGATGATGTATGGAGATAGTATGAATTTTATGATATGAATATAATAACAAGAGCCTGGCTGATCCAATATAGATCGTAAGTGGCCGTCCCCCTTTTCAATGATTACAACCATATATATAGAATTAACACTTGTGCTCTCAAATTGATGGAATAGCCTTCCACTAAAAGTGGAAACTCTCCTACAAGTCAGCAATCCTTTGAACTAACCGACCCCATCATCTCTATTTTGTTGCTAATTAGCTGAGTGGCCTCCGTATTAATAGCCCACGTTTTGACTTCTTCCCATTCTTTTAGCTCAAATCCCATATTTGTTGAACTTCTTAGGCTTATCCGTACCAAATATGATCTGCATGATGTTAGTCATCCAATTCAATCTACTTTGCTAATAAATGAAGGACAATAATGCCCTTTATTTAATTCATGTCCCAACAATAGGTATTAGTGTAACACAAATAGTCAAATAGTACAAGATGAAAGAAAACTAGCAAACCATTATTCAATATTTGCCTATGGGAAAAAGTACATATATTCAGGAGTGGTCTTGCTCCGTACAATCCAAGTAAAACTTTCCCTCAATGTTCTTCCTAACCATGACCTTGACCTTCTCTTTCTTGACCCCATTCCTGACACTCAAGATCAGATCGAACTTCACGTAATTCTCAATTTCCTGGATTCCATGAACATGTGCATAATAATGGCCGTGTCAATGACTTCTCGAGGGAGATAAATGTAGAAATGGGTAGTGACATTGCAATTCAAGCAAAATTCAACCTACCTTCTTCTTGGCCAAAAGGATGTCTACAAGTTCATATGGAACCAAAGAGTTAGACCTTTGTGTGATGGCCTGCACAGCAAAGCCAGGTCAAACTTTGAATAATAAGTTAATAACTACCAAATACGGAGTAATAGATTGCAACTTCCTGGCCTCAAAAGCAGTTTTAACTTATAAAAGGAGAGCACAGAAGTAAGTTTCTCTACATCTGGAGGCTTTTTTTACAATATAAAAATTATGCTTGCTAATTTTTACTGGGATCCGATCCTCTAAAGCTCATTTACTTTTGTCTTCTTTTGTTCTTTCTTTATTTATTGTGATCATTTTCTTCATGAAAGCTCACTCAATTTGTTTTAGCTATTAAATATATGTGTGAATCCCTCAAACAGAGCCTCAGAGCTCAAAAAATATAAAAAAGAACAGAGAAGCAAAACAATAAGCTATGACTGAAACCCATGTTTTCTGTATACAAGTGATTTTTGTTATTGATTACCTAGTTTGATGCCAATACCCGGCGATGGAGCCTCATAGGAACGCTTGAAATCCTGCAATTGTTTGAAGTTCTTCAGCCACGGCTTCACCCAAACTTTAGCTTCATATATCCGTTTCCGACCACCATCAATCGCCTCAAGAGTAAGATGATACATTTTTAAGTAATTGCTCTGGATGGGAGTAAAACATTAACGTAATTCTAAAACAGGAGTCCTTGTTCATTTATTCCATAAACAGGAGCTAACATTTGAATGGCCCGTTCCATTTGCCAATTATACCCTTCTTTGTAAATTAATTACGGAATAATTTACTTTTCCTTCTGTCATACGGAGTAATTATTACGGTTCCTCTCTCCCTTTCTCTGTTTTCACGCAACATCCTCTCTCCCTTTCTCTCTCTCTTTTCATCTCCCTCTCCCCCATCTTTTTAGATCAGGTTTCTTCTTCCGCTTCTCCATTTCTGCTGGTCAGTTTTGAATGGTGAATTTTCTCCCCAATTCCGACACCGGCGAGCGACGGCAACCATCGTAGGTAAGTTTTTATCTTCTTATTCTTCCTCATCTTCTTCCTCTTCTCTTTTCTTCTTCTTCTTTTTTCTTTAATTTGCTCGGTGGTGGGGATGATGACCCTATTTTGCTCTTATGTTGGGTGAAGTTGATTTGGCTGCACAGTTATTTGAATTTGCTTTGACTTTCTTCTTTCTTTCAGATCTATTCCATTAGATCTAGATTTGTTTTGTCCGATTTTTTTATTGCCTTTTTTGTTCTCTCTTTCAATGTTGTTTAGATTTTGTTCTTTTGATATTTAATTAATTTATATTTTACACTAGAATATAAATTTTGAGATTTCGTTTTATACAATATAATTTCTCAGTTTTGTGAATGGAATCAAATATTGCTGTAATTGCTATTCTAATGGAATTTTTATTGTATTAAGATGAAAATATTATTCCTTTTTTTTAAGCAGAAAAAATATTATTTCTTTGTAATTAAAATATTAATAATGACATGTTTTCCCTGTAAAAGTATTGTTTTGGCACATAATGTCATTTTTTGTGATACTAACTCCTTGGCAAACACAAGGCTAATAATGCCATATTTTTCATATAAAATGTTATTTTTTTGCAAATAGTGCCATTTTTTTGGCCATAACAGATGGCAATATTTGACAATTGCCAATACATATTGATAATGCCATCACAATTTCCAAATGAGAATGATTTTCCCTGTATTTGAAGATGAATATCATTAGGATGGAATTGAAGTTATCAAATGCTATTTTAAGCTTCCAGATCTGAGGGTGGTGGTAGAGTTGGAAGAGTTAAGGGTGATCGGAGCACGCAACACATATTCTGGCGGTGGCAGTGGATAAGGCGGCGGCGGCAACGGAGATCGGTGCGCCGATGACTGACGGCAACAGAGATGGCGACGCCGGCGACCAGAGGCAACAAGGATGACTGGCGGCAACATCGGCGGAGGCAACGACGGAGATGCGGTGGCAGTGATGTCCGGCGAAGGCAGAGATTGGAGGCGGTGATATATGGCTGCAGCGGCAATTATAGGCGGTGGTGGTGTTGGCATCAGATTTGTTGCGCGGAGGAGTAGTCGTATATTCTTTTATTTATTATCCTATTTTATAATGTAATAAAAATATAGGGAGGATTTCATTAAGGGTAATTTGGTCAGTTCATAACTTTTTACTCCTATTCAATGTTACGGGAGATAGGACTCCCACTTTTGCACTTTAGTCATGTCTTACTCCCACTTAGGGAATTATCTCTACATTTTTCCAGACACAACCTGCTCTTGGCATCAATGACTCTTCCAAACTCAAGAAGAGCATTCTGCAGAGAAGTTAATAGATATGGATAGAACATCACATATACTGCAGTAAATTGGGAAAGTTTAATTAAATTTCTTAGATAGTAGGATATGAGACATAAATATCTCAATTTTACAAAGTATGAGATATTTGTACAATGTAGACAAGTTTAGGGTGGGGATATCACATATACGTAAAGTTTAGGATAGTTTATTTATTTTCCCCTATAAGTAGACATCCATTACTTTGATTTGGACGTTGAAGTAAAAAAAATGGAAAATTGACTATATTCAATTATATGGATTGAAATGTGAATTATTTGCATTTCTATGTTGAAAAAGGAATATGTAAACTAATACTTCAATTTGGCATAGAAGTAAAAAATAGTGTGACATTAGTATCTATTATGTAAAGAATATTCAAGTGTCTATAGATTTTCATAACTTAAACATATGCTTTCGTCACTTGAAAGAAGACAAGTGATATAAATTGATATAGATTGTGCTTACAGATAACTCAATAATTGACCAATTTTACATGTACACAATGACCAATTCTGGTTGTTAATTTGTTATTTGACATCTCTTTGGTAAACTGGGTTCGTCCATGTAAAATCCACTTAGGTTTGGTGCGAGTTCTAAAGAAACAAAGGATAGTGGTTGGTAAGAAGTAAGAAAGAGTAAAATGGGTTAACAAAAACTAAAATGTGAAATGATAGATAAAATAATAGTGTGATAGTGACGGATCCGGAAACGGGACTATTGAATAGTAAAAATTTGTAATAAAGTACACCCGAAATAATGGTGGGTTAAAATTAATTCCAAAACTATTGTTGTAGTTGACCACGGTTAAGGAAATTTGTCACTTGTAAAAGCCGCCACTCCAAGTGGCGGCTCTTGTGATTAACCGAAAAAAACTTGCTTCTAATGGTGGTTTTTTTTGTTTAATCACAAGAGCTGCCACTTGGAGTGGCAGCTTTTGTACTGGATGGAAGAACCGCCACTTCAAGTGGCGGTTTTACTTAACCGTGTTTAACTCCAACAATATTTTGAAAATTGTTTTTAACCCAGCAGTATTTAAGAAATTATTTATTTAATCAGCATTATTGTGGGAAAAACTCATTATTATCTCCCTCCTACTAACTTTGGGACATGAAAAGGTGGTATGCTTGTTAAGAAAACTAAGTTTATGTGGTTGCTATTGGATTGATAAATTAAAAAATAAAGTAAAAATGATTTAGTACCGCACAAACTTTACAAAAATTGGTATGAGACAATTGTTGGGTGTGTTTCGAAAAACAAAGAAAATTAATTGATAAAAATTAATTAAATAAAATGACTTAAAGGAAAAACAAGAAATGAGTTGAAGTAGAATAAGCCAAAGCTCGTGCCACGCACGATTTCCTTAAAACGTATTCGTTGCCTCCCGGGGTGCTAGGAGCGTTGCAACCATCGTTTCCCAGGATACGATGACTTCGAACAATAGTTTAGCACTCAAACTAAAGTTCCAACAAACGAGAACAAAGCTTAGAACACAGAAGGAATTTCGGAAACTGGAGGTGTTTTTGTAGAGCTCAAAATTCGTGAGTACGTTTGTGAGTGGTGTGTTGTTGCAAATCACCTGCCAGGTACTTATAGGAAGGATTTGGAGGTTTAATGGATATGAACGTTGGCAATCAATGTCCAGCTCGTTGGCATTGATTCGTCCAAAAAACCGTCCATTTATTGCAAAGGAACGTTGGGCATTTATCGCGTTGTAACGTCCCAGCAGCTGTCTGCTGTGGAGCCAACTGCTCGCACGGAGCAAAAATAGGAATAACCGGAGGAACAAAAATTAACGTTTATCTTTAGAAGATGGAATTTTCGGACGACATTCGTGTCCGCAGGTCGCCCGCGCACGCAAGTCGGGCTTTTTGTTTCTCCAGTTTCGGGATTTGATTCGCACCCCCCCTGCGCGCGTGGAGAGAGCCTTTACCCTAAGGAATCTTAACTCCTTAAGGGGGGTTTCCCTTTATAAAGGGTTCAAATTCCCTTGGGTTTTCCGGTGTGAGAAAAACCACACTAGAAACTCATCATTTTTCTAGTCTTCTCTATTCTAACGAGTGAACTTCGAGAATCAATTTCTCATTCACCCGTTATCCGTTTTGAGCGTACCATATATCGAATTGTAGCCCTTAACAAGGAAAATCCGAAACCACTTTGACCCGACCCAAATCGTAAGTGGACCCCCACTCAAAATATTGCCCCAAAATGACCATTTAATGCAATTTCCAACACATTTTTCCAACAACAATCTTAGTTGGACGGACCGAAAAGGAAAAATAAGAATTTCTTAACGAGACAGAGGGAGTACAATATTTAAAAGAAAAACTAAAAAGTGTAATTAATTCTTTAATAAGTAATATTGTATACTCTTTTGTGAATTTGTAGAGCAAGACACCAATGTTTCGCGCAGGGGCGGAGCCGGGAATTTGGTTCAGCAGGGTCAAAAACTAAAGGCTTAACAATTTTTTATTTTGAGATATTGGAGTGCACCGGCTAAACTACGGTAGAGAGTGGGGTTTGGAACCGGTGGGCCGTCATCAGCACTAAGTTTGGCCCTAGTGTCCACCGGGGTGCTTGAGGAGTTACAGGATGCCATACCTGCTCGGTGAAGTATCTTTGTGGCGTATTTTTGTTGTGATAAAACAAGACGTTCAGGTTGGCGAGTGACTGCAATGCCAAGAAAAAATGTTAGTGGGCCCAAATCTTTAAGTGAAAATTCAGCCCCCAGTTGAGCAATAAGGTTACGGAGAAGTGTTGGAGTTGATGTCGTGAGAACAATATCGTCGACGTATAGCAAAAGGTAAGCAGTAGTTCCATTGTGATGGTAGATAAATAAGGAGTGGTCAACTTTGCTATGGTGAAAATCCAGTTTCGCAGCATGAGAGGCAAAGCGGTGATACCAAGCCCGTGGGGCTTGTTTTAAACCGTACAAAGATTTTTTAAGAAGGCACACATGAGAAGGTCGTGAAGGGTCTGTAAATCCCGGCGGTTGATGCATGTAGACGGTCTCGTCAAGAAAACCATGAAGGAAGGCATTGTTGACATCAAGTTGATGAAGGGGCCAATTATGGGAGAGAGCAATGCTGAGAACCGTACGGATGGTGGCTGGTTTGACGACAGGGCTGAAGGTGTCATCACAGTCAATACCCAGACGTTGTGATTTGCCGTTGACGACCAAGAGTGCTTTGTGTCGTTCAAGACTCCCGTCGGACCTGTATTTATGCTTAAATAACCACATGCACCGAATAACATTAGCATTAGTAGGACGGGGAACCAACTCCCACGTCTTATTATTAATAAGAGCCGTAAATTCAGAAATCATAGCTGATTTCCAGTTGGGGTTACGGAGGGCGTCAATGTGTGATTTGGGTAGGGGTGAGGATATGAGGGAGGTGGTATGGTGAGAGTTGAGACTAAATATTGGCTTGGGGCGGAATATGCCAGCCTTGCTCCGGGTAGTCATTGGATGTTGGGTATTGTTGTTTACTGGAGAAACAAGAGAATTATTGGACTGAGGTTGGTCCAGAGGTAGTTGATGGGATAAAGGTGAGATGGGAGCCGTAGGTTGTTCAGGAAGTGAGTTTGGCATAATGGGTGTGGGGCTGTGTGTGGGAGTGGGTGATAATTGAGATAATTGAGATAAGATAAATGGGGATGGGTTGTCTTGGAGAAAGTCATATGACGGTGGGGATACAGGAGTGGGATTTTTAAAGGGAAAGTTGGACTCATCAAAATTGACGTGTCGGGATATAATTAGGCGGTGTGTGGTGAGGTCAAGGCATTTGTATCCCTTGTGTTGAGACGGAAAACCCAGAAATACACACGGAGTGGTACGGGCAGCGAGTTTGTGGGGGTGGGAATATGGGGGTAACACAGACAACCGAAGATACGTAAGTGAGAATATGATGGTTGTTTGTGATATAGAGCGAGTGTGGGAAAGGTATAGGAGAGAGACTTGGAAGGAAGAATGTTATGTAAATATGTTGTCATGAGAACGGCATGAGGCCATAAATTTGGTGGCACAGACGCATGAAGGAGAAGGGTGCGGGTAATATTATTAATGGAACGAATTTTTCGTTCGGCTTTGCCATTTTGGGAGGAGGTGTATGGACAAGAGAAACGAAAAGAGATGCCATGGTTTAAGCTATAATTGTGAAACAAAGAGTTATTATATTCACGACCATTATCACACTGTAGCGTTTTAATAGATATTCCAAATTGATTTTGTACAAAAGTATGAAAATGTACAAATTTGGAAAAGGCATCACATTTTCGAGACAGGGGATATATCCAAAGAAAATTTGTAAAGTCATCAAGGAATAAAATATAATACCGGTGACTGGTGGATCTTAAAATTGGGGAAGTCCACAAGTCACTCTGTACAATATCAAAAGGAGCATGTGTCTACGAATAGGAAGGGGAAAAAGATAATTTATTATGTTTCCCCATTTGACAAGAATGACAAATAGCATCATATGCTTTACTACAATCAATTAAATTATTTGTGCTAAGGCTACGAAAAATAGGAAGTTCGGGATGACCAAGCCGGTTATGCCATATGGTGGAGGAGAGGCCGACGAAACCATGGTGGGAGGGAGATGCACGACTGGGAGGGTGATAAACCGGATACAGATTGCCTTGACTATTACACCTCATGAGTGGGGTTCTTGTACGAAGATCCTTCACAGAAAAACCAAAAGGGTCAAATTCAATGGACACTTGGTTATCGTTAGTGAATTTTCGTACAGAAATTAAATTTTTAACAATATGGGGTGCATGCAAAACATGACGTAACTGAAGTGGGGAAATTGGGGAATGTAAAAAGGTGTGACCGTGACCTGCCACCGGAATGGAAGACCCATTACCGACGATGATCAAGTTGGAAGAAATAATATTGACCAAATTATTCGCCATAAAAAAGCTCTGATACCAAGTTGGAATTAATAATATTCACCGTGCGGTGTATGTTGTATTCCTTAAGTATAAATAGCTTATGTACGGTTCATATCCGATAGCTACCGATCGGTTATCCATTAAATGGAACTACGTAATAATAGTAATATAGCACAACTAAACTACTGCAGTACAACAAGGATAATAACAAGCTACGTATTTGGATAATAACAAGATACATAAATGAGTTGGCATGTGAGACTTTGGTGGAGAGCCGTTTGGTGCGTATGGGACGTACGCATGGTACATGCATGTGCATGTATGTGACATGCCAATATTTTAATGTCTAACACATCTCACTCACTCTCTCACTTGTTTGCTCTGACTTCTCTCTAGTTATTCCCCGCAATAACCCTTCAGATAAGCTACCCCTGGGTACACTATCCATCATTTGGTGCTCTCGTTGAGCTAGTATACTAATATGACTGGGAGAGGGTAATGTGGCTTTTTCATTTTATGAGGAAAGTCCATGAAAAATCATTTATTTAACACTCGCTACACGTCATAAAACTTCCTAATTTCTAGTGGTAGCAGACAGAGACTATAGTTGCGTAAATGTGCATATATATATTGATGTACATACTACGAACACATAATAAGAATTACGATTAATTCATTCATTCCTTCCAGTTTCAATAGTTTACAAATAGATTTCTTTTCGAACAGACTGATAAATGATAATATTTTCCAGGACTTATCCTAAATTATCCATGTATTTATTTAATTTATTCTTGTAATTATCTCTAACTACTTAGAATAGTGTGCCTCAAGTTTAGGATAGTCAACAACAACTCCCTTTGTATACGTAAGTGTATGTACGTGTATATAATGGCTAAGCCATCTAATACAGAAGCCAAGCTTTTCAGAAATCTTCCTGCGTGCTAATATCTTTCTGCCTACATTACTTTATGGTATCAGAGCTGCAATTTTAATTGCATCGATCAAATGCTGCTGCCCTCTTTTATCTTCTCATGATGACACCCAATTCATCATCAACCATTCCATTTGACAGAAACTCCAACCCACAATTGATCTCCCTAAATGCTTCTTCACAAATCCCTATTAAGCTATCTAATGACGGGAGTAACTATTCATCCTGGAAATCTCAAATAACCAACCCCCTCTTTGGTTATGATTTATTGGGATACATTGACGGATCAATACCCTGTCCTGATGACTTGGATCCTACATTCAGTTTTTGGTCCCGTCAGGGTCGTCTTGTCCTTTTGGCCCTTCAATCTACAGTCACTAATTCCGTCAGCCCTATCATCAACAGCTGCAAGACATCCGCCGAAGCCTGGACAAAACTTGAAACAAGTTTTGCCAATGCCTCCATTACTCGTATGCTCTCTCTTCAAAATAGTCTCGCAACCACCAAGAAAGCAGACAAGTCTGTCACCGAATATATGGCAATTATGGAAGGTCTTGTTGATGACCTTGCCACAATCGGCCATCCAGTTTCTCCTGGCCAGATCATGTCATATGTTCTCAATGGTTTCGGAAACGAGTACAAGGAGACAATCTCTGCCCTCAGGATACAGCCCACACCTCTCACTCTCTCAACACTCCGACATCATCTTCAACAAGCTGAAATCCTTGCCGGTGACAGTCCCGAAATATCAGCCTCTGTCCAATACACTCAACGGCGGTCTCCTCACAATTCTCGCGGCCGAGGTGGCAGGGGAAGAGGGCGGCACTCTGACAATTTCAATCCACATCACCATGGATTTGGATCGTCTTCCTCTACTACTAATTCTTCTCGCCCCTCCATCATTTGTCAATTGTGTGACAAACCTGGACACACAGCAAAAAAATGTTATAGCCTCACCAATCCTTCTGTTAATATGGTGAACAAATCATCAAATGCAGAGGCCAATGCAGGATGACTCCTAGATACAGGTGCTACACATCATGTGACATCTGATCTCAATAATCTTGCTATTCATTATGACTATGCCAGAAATGACTTTATTGTGATGGGAGATGGTAACCGTATTCCTATATCTCATACTGGTTCTACCGATATTGTTTCTCCTAACTGTACATTTAGACTTAATAACATTTTGCATGCACCTCAAATTCTTCGAAATCTCATTTCTGTCAATCAATTCTGTAAACAAAATCACACTTCTATTGAGTTCTTACCTGATTCTTTTATTGTGGAGGATCTGACCACAGGGGTATCCTTGGCCCGCGGCCAGAGTAAAAATAATCTTTATGTATGGCCGGACACTCCGTCCACGTCTGTGGCTCATGCAACATCTCACCTATGGCATCAACGTCTTGGTCATCCTGCTCCTTCAGTCCTACGTCATATACTTTCCTCCAATAAAGTGCCATTTCGCTCTACATCATCACCATGTCATCCGTGTCTCCAGGCCAAGAGTCATAAATTACCATTTCATATGTCAACAATAAAATGTACTAGTCCATTTCAATTTATTTTTTCTGATGTATGGGGTCCTACTCCTATTCCCACCATTAATAATATTAAATTTTATGTTATATTTGTGGATTACTACACAAAATACTTCTGGTTATTTCCTCTAAAGCACAAATCTTATGGTTATCCCATTTTTAATAATTTTCGGGCACTAATAGAAAATTATTTCCACACCAAAATAAAAACATTATACACCGATCGCGGTGGAGAATTTAAATCCCTCACACCTCTTTTATCCGAACATGGCATTCAACACCTCATATCCCCACCATACACCCCCGAACATGTTGGTTCAGCAGAACGTAAATACCGACATGTCGTTGAAACTGCTCTCACCCTACTCTTCCAAGCAAATATTCCTCTTTATTACTGGCCATATGCTTTTCAACATGCCACCTATCTAATTAATCGTATGCCTAGCCCAATTCTTAATCATGATACTCCCTATCATAAACTCTTTGGAGATCCACCCGTTTATAACTCTCTTAAAGTTTTTGGGTGCCTTTGTTATCCCTGGCTTCGACCCTATACCAAACATAAACTCCAACCCCGTTCAGAACCATGTGTCTATCTTGGTTATTCCGCTACCCACCATGCTCACCAATGCCTCAATCCGAAAAACCGCCATATTTATATTTCCCGACATGTGATATTTTTTGGAAAAGAGTTTCCCTACAAACAACCCAACTACATTCCTTCGTCCACTACCTATAACACTGCCCGTAAACTATTTTTTCTCCTCCCTGTACATCATCAGATGACTCACTCCCATCCTCACCATGTCAAGACCCTACGTGCCAAATACCCCACCCTCCACATATTATACCTATCCCTATGCCCCACCACTCTCAAAATCCACCATCTAGTAATTCCTCTTCCTCTCAATCTTACGAAGAGCCTCCAGTAATAAACTCTTCCACCTCCACCTCTAATACCTCTGCACCACCCTCCCCACATACTTCCAATACCAACTCTATTGCACTAAATAACCCTCCACCCATTCCCAATTCCCAGCCAAATACTCCACCTCCGCCATCTCGCCCAGCAACCCATTCCCAGCATAATATTTACAAACCCAATCCCAAATATCTTCTTCACACAACCAAGTCTCCACTTCCAGTAGCTCCTACATCTTATAAAAAAGCACTGTCCAATCCGGAATGGCGCCAAGCTATGACGGAAGAGTTTCAAGCTCTCCAAAAAAATAACACGTGGTCTCTTGTCCCCCCTTCCTCCATGCAAAATGTTATTGGGTGTAAATGGGTGTTCCGAGTTAAACAAAATCCGGACGGTTCCCTTGCCCGCTATAAGGCACGGCTAGTCGTGAAAGGATTTCATCAGCGTCTAGGAGTGGATTTCACAGACACCTTTAGTCCGGTTGTAAAACCGGCTACAGTCCGACTTATTCTCACTATTGCCGTCACTCGTGGTTGGCCTATCCGTCAACTCGGTGTTAATAATGCTTTTTTGCAGGGTACCTTATGTGACACCGCACCCGATTGCACTTGGAATTTAAAGATGTTATGTATTTGAATTTCCTAACGAATAAAATTCGTGTAATTGATTGGAATATTTAATTAATGTGAGATTAATTAAATTATTTATCGGGTCCATTATATGGGAATGGGCTACCAAATGTTTAGTTGGGTCATCGTAATAATTATAGAAGCCCAATAAAGTGCCAACTAAAGTTGATAAAAATATTTGGACAACCTGGGCGCTATTTTGACCCGACCGGCCAGAAATAGCAGGAATAATTGGGAGAGATTTCCTACACCCACTTGGGGTATTCTACACACTAATTAGACTCAAATAATATGGGAGGGGGACCACACAATTTGGATGGTGCGGATGATTGGGAGGAGAAGTCTCCTAGAGACAAACTCACACCCCATGTCTCAATTCCCACACATTATTGGGAAGTTGATTGAGAAGGCATCTTTCATCCTTCATCCTCAACCATTCAACCAAGGCCAAGAGAGGGAGAGAGAGCTCTAGCAAGCTTCACACGAGCTCAAGGAAGAAGGAAGACCCAAGGAGAAAAGAATAGTTTTGAGGTAAGAACTCCATAAACATTCTTTAACTAGTTTTGTGTGGTATGATTTTTGAGAAATCATATGATGGATTAAACCACGAGTTTTACACGTTTAAAAGTGTATAATATTGTTATAAAGTGGTGGTATTTAACTTAGAAGAGTCGTGGAATCGATAGGAGTTGAAATCGCCGGAAACCGCCAAGTGTAGGAGGCTGTTCGTAGCTGCAGACCACGAAAGCCGCCCACCTTTTGCAAAAGCCGCCCGGCTTTCGTCTGCTGGTCAGATTTTCCACTTCTAATCGGTTTAGAACGGGGATTGATCGAAGGGCTTAGCGAAGGCAACTATTGCAGCACATCATAAGGTGAGGATGGCTGACTATGTTGTTTATAATCTTTGGGTTAATTTCGTAAGATTACCTAAAGTAATTAAATGTTATTTTCATGGATTATTAATGATTAATAATGCCAAAATGAAAATATTGTTGTCAATGAATAAAGGAGCATAATATACAAATTTAGGGATAAATTGTGTATGATTATGTAATATGAGTATATTGGCTTGATGAAGGGATTAACTATGAATATTATGTTGAAATATAATTTTAACTTCATATAAGGATATATGAGTGATTAAAGATTATATTTTGTATATTGATATGAACTATATTTTCAATGGAAAATTAGTTTGAGAATCGTCTATATGACTATGAACTGAAATGAGATTTTGTTGGAATTTATCCGACTAGTATAATGATACTAGTCGGGGTTTTGGAATGAAATATGTTAGAATTGATCCAAGGTTTGGATTGTAAATTGTTGAGCCTTAAGTAGTCTTAAGAGATACTAAGGTGGATAAGTGATGCTAGGGGTAGTCCTTAAGGGATACCCAAGATAAAGTGAATAATAAATTGATCCTAGGAATAGGATTGGCCTACGGGTGTATTCGGTAGTCTTTAAGGATTAGCCGATAGAGTATAGGTAATTAGTAAGGACCATGGCCCTTCCCGACTCTAGAGAGCGGGGTTGGATAGCATGGACTTACATCGTGATCACGGGTTAAGGTGGAATCCGAACCGGAGACCTTACGAGGCTCCCGACAGCGGTAACACATAAGATAGGACCCCGAATGGACCTTACCTTCCTACGGGACGATGGGTATGAGTTCAGGGGCGGGACGTTGGACTCCGGCCCGAGAGCCCGGGGAGGCCTCGGAGAGCGGTGACAAGTCTCGTAAAAGATGATAAGACCTACGGGCGGTGTCGTGCTAACGACGGGTATAATGAAATATATGAAATGGGCCGTGTGCCGACAAATAAATAAATTTACTTATTATAGAGATAATAAGTGGGAAATATAAATTATTATTTATATTATGATATCACCCTATTTTGGAGGGTCTTAGAAGTTGAAACATTGATTATATTGGGTATAGTTGTCATTGTACTTGTCAAATGCTTCCAAGTACTGACCTCCCCTTCACGGGGGAGGCCACCTCACAGTTTCAGGTAGGGAGTAGAGCTTGCTACCAGTGCCCGTTGCCTCGGGAAGATCTAGGAAGGAAGACGTGGTTCGTGCTTCCTCCGTCCCTGTTTTAAAAACATTTAAATTAATGCTCATGGATATTTTTGAATGATTATTGGGGCTTGTATGCCCATATTTGCCGGAGTGTGGCATAAACATTTGTATTAAACGTTTCCGCTGATTTCAATTGATTATTTTACATTATGTTTGTTTATGGATGTACTATTGTGAATGATATTCAAGACGCCTAGTATAGTATGGATGAGTTGGACTGCGGTTGACTATTCGTACTGTACGGCGGGTTGTTGACGTGTCCGGTAGGTCCGGGGCGTGACACCTTATCTGACAAAGTGTATATGCAGCAACCACCGGGCTTTGTTGATAAACAATTTCCACACCATGTATGTCTGCTTCGTAAAGCTCTGTATGGTTTACGCCAGGCTCCACGTGCTTGGTATTGTGCTTTACGCTCCTATTTGCTGTGTTCGGGTTTTCATAACAGCAAAAGTCATACATCATTATTTATTTATTCATCTGGCACTGCTCTTATATTTTTGCTGGTATATGTTGATGATATAATCATTACCGGAAATGATCCCCAACAGCTTCATCCATGTATTTCATCTCTTGGATGTGAGTTCAGTTTAAAGGATCTCGGCTCTCTCTCATATTTTTTGGGCTTAGAAGCAGCCCGAACATCACAGGGGCTCTTTCTAACTCAACATAAATACATTTGGGATCTACTGGAACGCACCAACATGCAGCATGCCTCCCCCACTCCCACACCGATCTCACCTAATGAGCCTCTTTCTCTTTCGGATGGGTCCTCTCCACATAACGCCACCGAGTATCGTAGTATATTGGGTGCACTCCAATATTTATCATTTACCCGACCGGATATTAGCTTTGTGGTAAATGAACTTGCTCAATACATGCATTCCCCTACTTCCACACATTGGCAAGCTGTCAAGCGTGTACTACGCTATCTTTAGGGTACCGCCACTTATGGACTTTTTATTTCTGCACGCACGCCTCTCAGTCTTCATGCTTTAGCTGATGCTGATTGGGCCGGTGATCTTGATTCCCGCCGCTCAACTTCTGCCTATGTAGTGTTCCTTGGCTCTACTCCCATCAGCTGGAGCTCTAAAAAACAAAATACCGTTGCAAGGTCTTCCACTGAAGCTGAATACCATGCCATCGCATCTGCTTCTGCTGAGCTTATGTGGCTTCGAAATCTTCTTGGAGAACTTCATTTCAAGTTCCAAGTTGCTCCAACGGTTTTTTGTGATAATGTTAGTGCTACTTACGTCTGTGCCAACCCTGTTTTTCATTCTCGTATGAAACATGTTGCCATTGATTTTCACTTTGTCCGAGAACAAATTCAACATGGATTGCTTCGCGTCACGCATGTTCACACACGTGATCAACTCGCTGACTCCTTGACCAAGCCTCTATCTCGTCAACTTTTCCAAAATCATCGTTCCAAGCTCAGGATCCTTCCAGGACCGCTTCACTTGCGGGGGCATGATAAATGATATTTTCCAGGACTTATCCTAAATTATCCATGCGTGCTACTTAGAATAGTGTGCCTCAAGTTTAGGATAGTCAACAACAACTCCCTTTGTATACGTAAGTGTATGTACGTGTATATAATGGCTAAGCCATCCAATACAGAAGCCAAGCTTTTCAGAAATCTTCATGCGTGCTAATATCTTTCTGCCTACATTACTTTACAGACATGTCTGGGTTCAATCAGCCTTCACGGGGTGCTTCAAGGAAGGGTCGTTGTCTCCCTCCACAAGAACTACTCGACCATCTTTGTAGCCGGTTCGTTCAGAATGTTTTGAAAGAAGATCAACAGTCATTTGAGAGGATCCAGATTATGTTTCTAGTGGAACAGTCACACTGGTTTTATTGAAGACAATTGTGTTGAGAACAATTCATCATTGAAATCTTTCACTCTTAAGGAATTCGCTCATTGATGGAGTTTAATCCAACTACAAGAGCTAAATCTACCAAAAAAGGTATGAGAAACGTATGAAAAATATGAAAGAATATGGCAGCGTAAGGCAGTATTCTCTTATTCCAAAGACCGATCGTGGATCCGATCAAAGTTCCGGTCCCTTGGTAGGGTGTTTACAAGAACTACTTATAGACCGATCGTGGTCCCGGGTCCACCAATTCTGAACCGCCGGCCCGCCCAGGCCTAGGCCGGACCTGGCCCGGCCCGAATCCACCCCTGGAGGTAGTATGAGCTTTTATAAGTTTTAAGATAAATTCTAGGATGTTTTCTTTTGACTGTTTTTTATCTCAGATCAGACCAGACCAGATCAGACCAGACTTCCATAGTTATAAAATATACAAAGACCATACATCTATCAGACCAGACCAGCAAATTTGAGTAGAAAACACTCCTATTCAAGTAAGTTACAATGATGTGGAAGCAAGGGCGTATCTTGGCGGTAGGGGCTACTGCCCTCTCAACCCTATAGGCCTATACATATACTCTGTATCAAATATATAGGGAAAGGTGTCAAATAGGCCCCCATACTAATACGAAAAAGTCAATTAAGCCTCCGAACTCAAAAAACACTCAATTAAACCCACGAACTATAAAAATATGAGGCAAAACAGCCCTTTTAGCATGTAATTAACCGGTTCCCGGTTCCATTAGTCCACGTGTCGCCACTTGTTGCCATTTGTGGCCACCTGTCGGCTGTTGCCACGTGTAAAGGTTTACCTGGAATCGGTTAATTACATGCTAAAAGGACAGTTTTGCCTCGTTTTTTATAGTTCGTGGATTTAATTGGGTGTTTTTTGAGTTCGGGGGCTTAATTGACTTTTCCGTATTAATAGGGGGGCCTATTTGATACTTTTCCCAAATATATAAGTATTTTTTTATCGTACTCCGTATACTAGTATTAATTAGGAGTACAATACTCATTATATTATTGCAATGATAAACTCGAACTGTAATCATATCAATGTGGATCTTGACCATTGTGAAGACGGTCTATGTTTTTTATTGGATCAAAGATCATGAAAACAATCTACCAAAGGTTATTCAAGTGTGAAGTTGAAAGAATGGGCATTTAATTGTTAGTATTACGTAGTATGGAGTATAATATTTCCCAAAAAATCAATTTTGAAATAGTTAACATTATGTAGCATAATTTTAACAGAGATGTTTAATTGGATAATTGGATCTATTTTTTAGATTATAAAGTATAAACATTGCCAAGTTACTGCCGTTAGTTGACTGAGTTACTGAGGTTTGGGTTTGCAATTTAAAAATGATGCTCAAAGAAACATATATTTGTCGCAATTAGCGGTGAACTGTCCGTCCCGGCCTTTAATTTCCCACATTGCAGCATGAATACGTTATTTAAAAAAGAAAATTTCATATACACACAGAATCAATATGTACAACATGCATAGAAAATGATATATATAGGTATTAGTGTAACACCAATAGTACAAGATGACAGCAAACCATTATTCGTTATTTACCTATGGGGAAAAAGTACATATATTCAGGAGTGGTCTTGCTCCATGCAATCCAAGTAAAACTTTCCCTCAATGGTCTTCCTAACCATGACCTTGAACTTCTCTTTCTTGACCACGTTCCTGACACTCAAGATCAGATAGAACTTCACGTAATTCTCAATTTCCTGGATTCCATGAACGTGTCCATAATAATGGTCGTGTCAATGACTTCTCGAGGGAGATAAATGTAGAAATGGGTAGTGACATTGCAATTCAAGGAAAATTCAACCTACCTTCTTCTTGGCCAAAAGGATGTCTACAAGTTCATATGGAACCAAAGAGTTAGACATTTGTGTGATGGCCTGCACAGCATAGGTTGCCGCTCGACTGACCACTGGATCATGTATTGGCAATATCTGCCACCCTAGTACAAACCTGTCTGGTATACATACAGCCAGGTCAAACTTTGAATAATAAGTTAAAAAGTACCAATACCGGAGTAATAGATTACAACTTCCTGGCCTCAAAAGCAGTTTAAATTTATAAAAGGAGGGCACAGAAGTAAGTTTTTTTACATCTGGAGGCATTTTTTACAATAAAAAAATTATGCTTGCTAATTTTTACTAGGATCCTCTAAAGCTGATTTACTTTTGTATTCTTGTGTTCTTTCTTTATTGTGATCATTTTCTTCATGAAAGCTCACTCGATTTGTTTGAGCTATTAAATGTGTGTGTGAACCCCCCCAAATGTGTGTGAACCCCCCAAACGGACCCTTAGAGCTCAAAAAATATAAAAAAGAACAGAGGAGCAAAAGAATAAGCTATGACTACCTTGTTTGATGCCAATACCCGGCAAAGGAGCCTCATAAGAACGCTTGAAATCCTGCAATTGTTTGAAGTTCTTCAGCCATGGCTTCACCCAAACTTTAGCTTCATATATCCTTTTCCGACCACCATCAATCGCCTCTAGAGTAAGATGATACATTTTTCCAGACACAGCCTGCTCTTTGGCATCAATGACTTTTCTAAACTCAAGAAGAGCATTCTGCAGAAAAGTTAATAGATATGGATAGAATTAAGGCTCTGTTGCATTTAAAAGTATAGAAGAACATCACATATACTTCAGTAACTTGGGAAAATTTAATTAAATTCCGGGAACAGAATTCCAGCTCATTTCCACGAATTCAGTAAAAACATAATAATTTTCAAAAAAACATGCAATGACAAAAGAAATTATTACTTGGTAACAAAATAACTTTAGATCACAATTATATGGACAAAAAGACACAATAACAATAACAGCAGCAACAATATAGGGAGTAATGATAATAATTGAAGCAAGTAGGAAAGCAGAAAGCATGTACCTCGATTTTGTTGTGCTCCAGCACAGCGAATCGACCAAGGCTTTCAATTTCTCCATCGTTAGGGTTCGCTTTACAATCCCGAGAACTTCCCAGAAAGAGTTTCTCAGAGGAAAATCTGGGGTTCCTAATTTGAATCAATTGGCCTCGTGCTGAAACCCGTAACTGAAAAAGCCCCAAGAAGCAAACTAGGACAAAGCAAAGTGAGTAATTCAACCGGTTCTGCATTTCCGTTAGCGGCAGATCGGGAGATTGCTGTTCTCCTCGATGCGTCAGTTAGCAAAAAAGACGGCCTTTGTTCCGCGAGCAAAATTTGTAGAATTTGTTCAAGGATGTGACTTTTCCCCAATTTGCTGAACTAAACAAATTGGAAGTATTACTTTGATTTGGACGTTCAAGTATAAAAAATAGAGGTGGTACAAGTATTTCTTCAGGACGATTGTGGGCGGAAGACATTCGTGATTTGAGCTAGGGTTTTATTAACCTTTCTTTTTCTTTTGTTAGACGTTCACCGAGGTTTGTACATAAAACCTGTAATAAAGCATGATATTAACCTGAGTATGAGACATAAAACAGGCTTCCTTAGCTAAAGCATGAGAAAAAATCAAACATATCTGAATCGTAAAAATTTGTAATAAAGTACACCCTGTTGTGAAATGAAGAAGATGCAGAATAGATTTAAGAGATAGATAGATATATTAATAAGCTCTAAATAACTTCTTCTTAATCTCTGAAATTTCTGAGTTCTCTGAATTGCTTGAATTAAATTTACAAAGGATTGAATGCCCTATTTATACTAGCCAGACTTGGGATGAATCATCTAGGAATGATTCTACATAATTTGCTGGCAACATTAAACCTAAACATCTGTCTATTACAAGGACTAGAATTGGATTAGTGTCCTGATGATAAGGATGAAACATTCACACTTGTCATTCTCAGGAATTTACAACACTCCCCCTTGAATGTTCATCCTTGAATATGTATTTGTGAAAATGAGTGTGAAAATTAAGGGGTAAAAATTACGACATATAATGTCGTTGTATTTGGATGTACTGTCTCGTTAAAAACCTTATCAGGAAAAACCCAATGGGATAAAAACCTGATGAAGGGAAAAAGAGTGCAGTGCATTCAAATACTCCCCCTGAATTTAACATAAATTTTGAAGGCGGTGCATGCCGATTTTCTGTACAAGTTCTGTGAACTTCTTCGGGGGTAAAGATTTGGTGAAGAGATCGGCTGGATTTTCACTTGATCTGATTTGTTGAATGTTGATCGTCCCATCTTTCTCCAGATCATGAGTAGAGAAGAATTTTGGTGATATGTGTTTTGTTCTGTCTCCTTTGATATAGCCCTCTTTAATTTGAGCTATGCATGCGGTGTTGTCTTCATAGATCACAGTCGGGTGACAAGTAATAGGCTTTATACCGCATTCATTTTGGATGTGTTGAATCATAGATCGCAGCCACACACATTCTCTCCCGGTTTCATACAGTGCAATTAATTCAGAATGATTTGATGATGTAGCCGTCAATGTTTGCTTCATAGATCTCCACGAGATTGCGGTATTACCATAAGTAAATACGTACCCGGTTTGTGATTTTGCCTTTTGAGGATCTGATAAGTATCCGGCGTCTGCATATCCGATTAAAGAAGCTTTTGCATCTTTGTGGTAGAATAAGCCGAGATCAACTGTACCACGTAGATAACGGAATATGTGTTTGATCCCGTTCCAATGACGTCTTGTTGGGCATGAACTGTACCTAGCTAATAAATTTACAGAAAATGCAATATCTGGTCTAGTATTATTAGCTAAATACATTAAAGCTCCAATAGCACTCAGATATGGTACTTCAGGACCGAGTATTTCTTCGTCGTCTTCTCGGGGACGGAATGGATCTTCGTGTATGTTGAGAGATCGAATGACCATTGGTGAAGTCAAAGGATGAGCTTTGTCCATATAGAATCTCTTCAACACTTTCTCGGTGTAATTGGATTGGTGGATGAAAATTCCATTCTTCAAATGCTCAATTTGAAGTCCGAGACAAAATTTGGTTCTCCCGAAATCTTTCATTTCAAATTCTTTCATAAGATATTTTGCAGTATTTTCAATTTCATCGGGAGTTCCAATAATGTTTAAATCATCAACATATACTGCAATTATGGCGAATCCCGAATTTGATCGCCGAATGAAAACACATGGACTAATTGGATCATTCTTATATCCTTCTTTGAGAAGGTATTCACTGAGACGATTATACCACATTCGTCCAGATTGTTTTAGTCCATACAATGACTTCTGTAATTTAATGGAAAACATGTCTCGAGGTTTCGAGATATAAGCATCAGGCATTTTAAATCCTCCGGGAACTTTCATATAAATGTCTGTATCGAGTGAACCGTATAGATAGGCGGTCACTACATCCATTAGGCGCATTTGCAGCCTTTCAAAAACAGACATTCCAATGAGAAACCTTAATGTAGTTGCATCAACTACTGGAGAATAGGTTTCTTCATAATCAATTCCCGGCATTTGAGAAAAACCTTGGGCAACAAGTCGGGCTTTATATCTAACAATTTCATTTTTCTCATTGCGTTTACGCACAAATACCCATTTAAAACCCACAGGTTTTACGCCTTTTGGCGCAGGGACTATCGGTCCAAAAACATCACGTTTTTCAAGTGATTTTAATTCAGCCTGAATAGCTTCATTCCATTTTGGCCAATCGTGTCGTTTCCGACATTCTTCAATTGATGTTGGCTCATTGTCATTGTTTTCATTCATTACATTTGTGGCAACGGCATAGACAAATATATCATTAATATCAATATCTTTTCGATTCCATTGCATTCCAGTAGAAACGTAGTTTATTGAAATTTCATAATTATCAACGTTTCTATCATTATCTGGAACATCTTCCTCATTTAAGAAAGTTGGATCATTATTTGAGATGTTTGTTTTGTCAATATCATTTTCTATGCCAGTATTTTCAAATTGTTCATTTTCTTGTTCAGAAGGATGAACATCTTTGGCATCACAGATCAATTCCTGCCTTTTAGTTTTTCTTGGTTTTATATCTTTTGATCCAAGTGGCCTACCACGCTTTTTACGTATAGAAGAATCAATTGCAAGAGATTTTTCAGAATTCTCTACTGGAATTTCGATTCTGGCAGGAGCATTTATAGCAGGAATATGTGACTTTGTCACTTTCTTTGTGTCTGTGAATGCATCAGGCAACTGATTTGCAACATTTTGTAAATGGATCATCTTTTGCACCTCTTGCTCACATATATTTGATCTAGAGTCAAGGTGCGATAATCCCGTTGCATTCCATGTTATTTCTTTCGTACTTGGGTCCGATTTATTAGTTTCTCCCCCTAAGGTTGGGAATACTGTCTCATTGAAATGACAGTCAGCGAACCGTGCGGTGAATAAGTCACCAGTCATCGGTTCAACATATTTTAGTATTGAGGGAGATTCAAATCCAACATAAATTCCCAACCTTCTTTGAGGACCCGTTTTTGTACGATGAGGTGGAGCAATCGGAACATAAACAGCACAACCAAATATTTTTATGTGTGCTAAGTTTGGCTCTTGTCCAGTAACTAATTGCATTGGGGAATATTCATGATATGCAGTCGGTCTAAGCCGAATTAAATTTGCTGCATGCAAAATAGCATGTCCCCAAGCTGATGAAGGTAAATTACACTTCATTAATAATGGTCTAGCGATTAATTGTAATCGTTTAATCAAAGATTCAGCAAGACCATTTTGTGTATGGACATGAGCAACAGGGTGCTCCACATCAATCCCAATCGACATACAATAGTCGTTAAATGTTTGGGATGTAAATTCTCCTGCATTATCAAGTCGGATTCTCTTTATAGAATGATCCGGAAAATGAGCTCTTAACCGTATAATTTGAGCGAGGAGTTTAGCAAATGCTAAATTTCTAGTCGACAAAAGACTAACATGTGACCAACGTGTTGAAGCATCAATCAACACCATAAAATATCGAAATGGTCCACATGGCGGGGCTATCGGCCCACAAATATCTCCTTGAATCCTTTCTAAAAATGCAGGTGATTCAGTTGCAATTTTGGTCATAGTAGGCCTGATGATCATTTTGCCAAGAGAACAGGCCTTACAAGGAAAATCACTTGATAATGGAACCCTGATATTCTTTAATGGGTGTCCAAGTGAAGTCTTAATGATTTTATGCATCATTACTTGGCCTGGGTGACCTAAACGGTCATGCCACAACATGAATGTTTTCTGATCATCTAACTTTGTGTTAGAAACCAAATTTATTTCAAATGGACTAATATAAGTGAAATATAGTCCTGAGGAATATGCTGGCAATTTTTCACAAATATATTTAGTGCCAAATTTAGTTGTCGTAAGACAAAGATATTCCTTTTCGTTTTCATTCATGGTTTCTATGTGATAACCATTTTGACGCATGTCTTTAAAACTTAATAAATTTCTCCGCGATTTGCTGGAGTATAAAGCGTCATTTATAATTATTTTTGTCCCGTTAGGGAGCATCACATATGCTTTCCCAGAGCCTTCAATGAGCTTTGCAACACCTGATATTGTATTGACTTTAGCCTCAACTAAAGTCATTTGAGAAAAATATATTTTATTTCTCAAAATGGTGTGCGTTGTGGCGCTGTCTATCAGGCATCGTCCATAATAGCATCATCCACGAAGAAGTCGGACACGTCAAATTTTGGCAGAGGTGGAGTTGTGTCATTAACATAATTAGCTTCCACATTTTTGCCTTTGTTCAGATTCATGGAAGCTTGAAATAACTCCACCAGATGTTTAGCCGTGCGACATTTATTAGCCCAGTGTCCCGTCATGCCACATTTATAACAAGTCGACTTTCCCGAGGATTTTGGAGGGCGATTTATTTGATGGGTCTTTTGTTTGCCCTTGCCCTTGTAATTTGGTCTTTCGACCTGTTTGTATTCTCGGTGTGACTTGTTTTTATGACCATTAAAATGCCCACGTTTAAAATGCCTTCTACTGCCACTGCATGTTGCATTTGATTCAGTGGCTAAATTATGGCCAGATGCACCATAAACAGAAGGACTAGAACCAGTGGGTCTTAAATTATGATTTTTCATCAGAAGGTCATTATTTTGCTCAGCTACCAATAATACTGATATTAAGTCAGAGTATTTTTTAAAACCCTTTTCTCTGTATTGCTGCTGTAGCAGCATATTAGAAATATGCATTGTAGAAAAGGTTTTCTCTAACATATCAGCATCAGTGACTTTTTGTCCGCATAACTTTAGTTTAGATGTTATTTGGAACATAGCAGAATTATAGTCACTGATAGATTTAAAATCCTGGAATCTTAAATTGATCCAGTCATACTGAGCTTTTGGCAAAAGGACCTTTTGCTGGTGGCCATACCTCTCATGTAGATTGTCCCATAATTCTTTTGGGTCATCAACCAAAAGATATTCAGATTTGAGACTTTCATGGAGATGGTGACGGAGGAAAATAATAGC